CCAGCCACTCCAGCTGCAGAGCAGCGTGCAACAGCACTTCCGTGCACAAGTTTCCTCTGCTCAAATCTTTCTTTGCAGATGGCTTTGCAGCTAGTCAAAGAAATAAAGCTAAAAATGTTGCCTTGGAACTCCAACTGTGTGCTTTAAATAGCTGTCAGGATGATAGTATGTGTTTTCATCTGTTAAAAATAGGGTCTACAAGGATGGAAGGACTAACCAGATACCTCAGATGAATGTGCCACGTGAGATTGAATGAATTGGGTCCATGCGTCCTCTGCTGTGGCAGGAGAATGGTACAGCTCTGCAGGGCAAAGCAGCACATCCAGTGTGCAACTGTCCAGGAGCAGTGGCAAGAAATAGAGTTTAGGGATAATCCATGCCTTGGAGGCACTCACAGAGAGATGCTTCGCACCCAAAGCCTTTTCATGACAGGAGATTCCCCTCCATCTGAGATGCAGTTAGATGTAGTGCTTTTGTCAGCTCTTTGCATCACAGGCAGATGCCTGGAGCACTTGCCCAAAGAGTGCTCTGGGTCATGCTCTGGGATTGTTCTCAGCTGTGCTGGAATTTCCATCAAAACTCACCAGCTGCTCAGCCAAGAAGAAAAACCTCYGAAAGCAAGAGGAGCACTGATTCCAGCCCAGCTCTCAGCCAGTTTGTGTAAGGAGATTTACTGCGTACTGGTTCCTGCTCCTGCAGTTGTTTGTGCCTTTCACATCAAATATATCCAAAGGAAAAAAAGACGTTAAGACTGCTGGTGGAAATTTTAAATACTTTAGCATTTACCTGTATTACTTGTGTTTTGGACTGCAAACTCGTAAGAATAGCCCTAGGCAGGAAATTTTGTACCAAATTACTTCTGTCCCTGAAGATTAAATGTATAACCTGAAGCAAAATTTGAGCCTGCTGGGTGAACGGAGAAAGGTTCTTAATTGCCTGACAGCCTGCAAATTCCCCTTTTTTCTAGTAGTTTTCAAAGGATAGGAAAACAGGATCCCTAGTGGCAGTGCTGGCATTTTGGGAGGAGGTGTGAAGCAGCAGCTCGTTGTTAGACTAATTATAGCATCTGATGTGCGAGAGCCTTTCCAACAAGCAGAAGATGTGGTGGTASAGCTGAGCAAGTCAGCACTTGGCAGCACACAGCTGCAGGTTTGGGCTCTCCTGGAGGGTGGTTAACCYAGTGCAGGGGGAATGCAAACTCTGACCTGTGATACGGATGAGGGATGCAGGAAATGCCCAGGAGAGCACTGCTGGGCAGATTTAAAGTGTTTAGAAAAACTCCCTGTGCTCTGTCCCAAGCACATTGATATAAAAAGCACCGGCATCTGGAGATGAGTGTGCTAACCCTTGAAGGTTAGAACACAACCTGAAATATGTTTAAATACAATATCAGAATGAATAACCCAACAATTATCATGATGTATCACAGCCCCGAGCCCACATGCTGTTTGCCAGTGTTCCTCCTGACAGCAGGGCAGCAGCTACATTATCTCCAGGTTTTTGCAGCTGGAGCAGTAACAGCAGAAACAACCCAACTGCTGGTGGTAAGCTAGGGGATAATTCAGAGCTAGCCTAAGGCTCCCTCTGGAGTTAGAGGAGAGAGATCAGTGTCTCCAAGGAGGGATTCAGAGCTGGGATCAGAGCTGGTTTGGACAGCTCTGAGTGGGGAAAACCCAGAGAGGCGCTCTCCCTTCACCTTGCTAGAGGTATGCCAGTGCAGGGGCCACTTTGTGGGTTTTTCCTTGTTACCARGGGAGAAGAAAACTTGCTAACCCAAATTAGGCAACAATGCTGGGAGAAAGACATGTAGCACTGAATGCTGCAAAGGCAAGGGATATTGTCCAAACAAATATTGTGCTTGCTTAAGCATTATCTAAAGTTCAGTTAATTAGTGATTTAAACTCTGCCTGCTTTTAGGGGCAGTTGTTTTTTTCTTCTTATACTATTATACATCTTATCAATTCAGTTTTCAAGTACAAGTGATGGTGTATCATGGGCAAGCTGTCAAAGGGTTTGATTTTCTCAAGGTGTACATCAGAGTCCACAAGTCAGCTCTCATGGGCTGGAAGAAGYACATAAATTAAACATCCAGAATCTGAAATAATTTTTGTAAAGCTCAGACGTCGTATTTGGAGGAGTTTGATGGCACTTATGAGAGATTCTTTGTTCAAAACCAGTTCAGAGAAGCCTTGGGATTCCCTCTGTTTATAGTTCTGTTTTCAGCTACTGCTGTACCTTTTTTAGCAGGTGGYACTTGCTGTTAGGACAGTTGTGACTATAAAACTAGCATCTGTGGAAAGGACAGGACYGTAACTATTTGGAGAAAAGAACCATCATTTCTACTAGAACCTGAACTCCTTGATATAATGAGTAGTACWTAAACAATTAATAAGATGTATCCATAATCACCTCCCAAAACCACAAAGAAATGCACCTTTCACCAGATATTCCTGATCACAAAACCAAGCTTGTTACATGGTTAATCTTTCCTACTCTACAATGCGGGCTGGATTAGAAAAAATATGTCACAGATGTACCTTACAATCTGGGAAGCATTGCCAAAAGTGAGCAGAAATGTGCTGAAATAAGAGGRAGCCTTTCTGTTGATTTAAAAGGCCAAAAGCAACTATGGTGCTGAATATTTTATCTACTTCTAAAAGCTGTGACATATGTCAATAGCTACTATGAGATTTAAGCAAGCATGTGACAGCTTGGTTCTGCTGTTCAGATTTTCAAGGTACCTTTTGATTTTTGAGGAAGGGGTTGTAGCACTAATGACAAGGTGTCTTTTAAACCCCCTTTGGCAAAATTTTCTGTATTCTGACTTCTCTAAAATTACTTACTAATATTTAGCAATAAAAAGTTTAATGAACAGTTAACATTCCTGATATGATTAGCATACCAGCAGAAAGTATTATGCTTGTTTTTTTAATATTTATTACTTAATTACTGAAACAAATGAATAAACACTGTCTTGTTTTAATATCAAAAGCTCTTTTGTCTCTTGGGCAGAAACAGGCAAAAGAAGACCTTTTCTATATAAACCAAAGAAAGAAACTTCTCACTTTTAACTGGCAAAGCCACATCTTAAAAACAGATTGGTTCGCTGTTAAGAATCTTGCTAAGTCAGTGGAGGTAGATTTTCCCTCCTTCTTGATCTACCACATACACTTAATSTACTAGGAAATATAGTTGTTTAGTGCTTGAGAATCTCTTCTGCTACTYGTGTGTCAATTAGAAAATGCTTTCATATTTTGTCTTTTTCTATAAAATGTGTAAGATGAATCATTACACAATATTAACATTAAATTTAGGTAAACAGAGTCATCATGCTCCCTCCATCCCCAGAAAAAAAAAGGCAATKAATTTTAAAATCCTTTTTAATAAATTAATATTCATTCATCAATATTTTCATAAAGCATCTCTTCATCATTCCATTTTACTATTCTTTTTTTTTCACTGCTGAAGAATACCAAAAATACATAGATGTGCCTTAAGCAAAAAGGACTGGGTTTTCRTTTATCTTTACAATAGGATGAAATCAACTTAAGAGTTAAACCACCATAATATTTCTACTGTTTATTGACCCTTTGGGCTATAACAGAAGATAGTTCCATTTTTCCTTTTTTTTAATGCCTTTTACAAACAAATTATGTGTAAATGCTATTTATAGTAGTGTTGAGTTACAAAGGAGTTAATTAGCTATGAAATACATTACTCTGGTGTGATTWAATTGAAATTACCATTTTTAGTCTTAAAGCCATCTATGGTTAAAACAATATACTGCAGCTAGTGCACAGGGACAAGAGCCAGAAAAYGGGAGGTCAAGGCAAACGCTGTTCTTAACACATGGTTGTGTGTGTGTCTGTGTGTTTGTGTGTAAGAAGTCATGCTGGGACTGTAGGAACGGAATTGGCAAAAAAAGGCACAAAAATGTGTGTGTAAGATGAAGTGCTAACCTTAAGTGAGATTTTTTCTGGCTTTTTTCAAGTCAAAGCAAGACTTGGATCTGTTCAAGGTTAAAGCTGCTAGACCAATGAATGTGAAATCTTGTGAAAAAGCTGAGATGTGCGACTGCCTACTTTTTGAGATGACAGGCTGGATGGGGAGCACAGTTCCCTGAAGGGGGTTGCAGTAACATGCTGCCCTCCAGTTGTGCAAAGGGTAAGAGAGGGAGAGAGTACTCAGATACTCAGTCCTCTTGCACATGCAGGGCCCTGAAAAATCAACATTGCCTCTTTGCTCCGTACAGGGAATAATTTTCCGCCTTCTTGGAAAGTCTTCAGTGGTTGAAGCCACTGATTTCAGCAGCAGAACTGATTTCAGCAGGATTTGGAGTATACATTTCTATCACAACTAAAAATTCACTTCTTATCGAAGGTTTCTGCCTAACCACATGATTTCTAGGAGGTGGGGCTTGAGGAAAAGAGAGTGCTGTGACTAAATCATGAGGGCAGGACCACTCCCAAATCTCACATTTTAGGGTAGTTCYTTAGGGTACTTACAGCAAGATGTGATTGGAGATAATTTCAGTAAAGAAAATTTTCTGAAGCAAAGCCTACCATTTACAACTTTTATTAAAATCAGATAGCTTTGTTTAAACATATTTTGCTACTAAGATTAAAATCTTGGGAGAGGTTTTCAACAATTCTGATATGCACTTTGGGAGGGTGTTAATTGTTAGTTTCTTTGATTATAAAGATGACAATGTGTTCTATAATCCCTTCACAGTTTGAAGAGATATTACAGAGCTCACAATACATTGCACTTTACCAACGGGACTTAATACAGCGGAGCTTTTAAACACCAAGTTTTTCTGCTCCAGCTATACAGGTTCCTCTGAGGCTCTTCATGCTGTGGAGTTGTCTGCAGATACGGTGCTTAAAAACTGCAGTTCCACCACTCTGCACCACTGCCAAGGATGCAGCAGGACTGCGGCGCTGCTGTGCCCACGCCAGCAGCCGAGTTGTGGYGAGCACTCCCAGMTGGGATCGCACTGCAGCAGCGCTCMAGGCAWCKGTGCCGAGCCCACTGATGCTCAAGGAGCAGCCCTGAGGATGGAACTGAAACACATTTGAAATTCAGGCTCATCTGTGCTGCATTTCAGTCCAGAGCAAAGTTTCACAGCTCAGCTGCACACAGGGGTGGGAACAGTAATGGGCCGTACAGGGCAGCAGCCCGAGTATCAGCGCTCTATTCACAGGTAAACCCAGTACTAGAAAGGACACGGGACATTACAGGGCCAAAGCAGCCTTTTCAGTTTCTCTCTTGTCTGGTGCTTTTGCTAGATGCAAATATTGACACATATTTTCACCCGTGGAAGTCTCCAACTAGCATCCAAAGCTCTTGGTCAAAAAAAAAGTCAATGTCCAGAGGAACTTCACATGCAGAGAACTGTCAGGGCTAAGCCTGAATTCTGTTAGTTTAGATCTACTTATGCTACTGTATTTGTTGTTATTTGAGAATGTACATGATAGAAACACTGTTTACAAAAAATATATCTTCTTTTCTTTAGAAAGGTTTAGTTCTGATAAATAACAAATTAAGTTTACAGATCTGAAATTGGCATGCCTTGACAACTACAATCTACTAGACCGAAAAAGGCTGGAATTCCCAGTGAGGGAATGAACTGGGATGAAAACCAAAATGATCACATTTGCATGAAGGATATGTTAGAACTTAGTTAATGCTGAAACAAAACATACTCCTGTGATCTGTGATGTCAGCACACTACCTTTGTAAGTGTAGGTGTATATACTTTCAGTATATAAATAAAATATGAAAATGCTCCATTACCAAATCAAAGTATCAGAAGTGCTCTATTTGCTCAACTCTAGAGAATAAAAAGTTATAACATCACAGAAACAAAAATATGACATAACATGCAGTCACAATAGCAAGCACAGGGAAGAAAAATATTGAGAAAATGTACTTATATGCATATTATGCAAATATATTTTACATTAACATACAATGTTATAAGAATGTTAAATAAATATGAATGCATGTTTAAAAAAGGCTACAGCTAGGTGATTTCATGTCGAAGTAACAAATAACCTGAGACATCTTCTATGCTTTCACTGGAATAACAATCTTTAAATCTACAGCAGATGTAGAACACATTGACAGTAGTTGAATTCTCAGCTAAATTATACTAAAAATGTGCTGTTCTCTTTCAAAATGACATGGCAGCTGGAACCAGTCCAAGGGAAGGAAAATGTGCTGTACATTTACAGTACTTACAAAAGATTCATTTCACTGTTGATGGACACTTAAAATGCTTGTTTGAAATATTATAAACCTGTATATGTCTCCAAAGACCTACAACACTYTCATGATCAGCTTGCTCACTGCAGAAGAGAAAGCAAGAGATCATTAAAAACCATGCCCATTCAGGACTGGGAAAAGATGTATGATGACATATAAACCCAAGAAATTTTAGCAAAGAAAAATAAATTTGGCTTGGTGAAATCATAGTTGATGGATCTGCAATAGAAATAACTTATTTTAAACTTACCAGTGTAACTCTACTGCTTTATGATTAGTGTATATGGCAGCATTTACAAACGATGTTACTAAATACTGACTTTATACATGATTACAGATGTTTGAAAATTTCTATGACAAAGTTCTGTAGTGATAATATACAACACTTACTTTCTCAAGGCTTGCTGCTTTGACAACACCTGCCTTTCAATTTAAAAAGTTCCTCTGAAGTGCATTCTATGTTAAAGTGTCCATAACCCCAGAATGAATGTGTTCATGTGTGTGTGCATACATATACTTTTGCTTTGCAGATTGTGCTTTAAAGTACACACATTTCTCTGCTACATGTATTCACACATACATGAGTATGGTCTACATAGTAAAAGTTCATATATATATTTTTTATATATAAATATATATATAAATATATATATAAACTCTGCAGGCAAGTAGTACTTCACTTGTTATAATTGAAGTCCTTTAAAAAAACTCAGTCACTCAGTTAACATAGTATAGCCAGTAAATTAAGTTGAAAAGAGAAAATGTGAATGGAAACACCATTCTTGACCATCTGTCGATGGCATTCACATCTGTTAGATCGGGGATTTTTATTTTCAGTTGYGAAGACCTTCTTCGTAAATGGCCCCTCTTGCTATGGGTGCCTGTTCTTTCTGACGAACGCCTTCCGAGGCTTTCACGATGTGAGCTTTGTTTTCTGTACTGGATTCCTGAGTTGTCAAATGATATAGTTGAATTTCGGGCTTCCGTAATGCTGGTGGTGACCTCGTTGCTTGCCACCTCGTTGTGAATTTCAAGTGATGTTAGCAGAATGTTTCCATGGGTGTCCACCTAGGGGGAAAAAATAGAAACATAAATTCTCTCAAAAGACTTGACATCGATAAGCAGCATGTGGGTGTATGTAAATCTCCAAACCTGTACATATCTAAAAAAATAGTATATTAATTTTAAGCATGTGATGATCTTAAAAAAGAAATGGCACTACTCAGCTGCTTAAAATTAGATAAGTACTTAAATAATTTCACAATCATACTACCAAATACGCAGTACAAAACTGTAGCTGGCAAACTCAACCATTTTCCTCTCCCTCTAAATCAGCCACATTTCAAAGGATGGTACTGCTCAGTGAAACCTCTGCATTGCTGGCAATGGAGGCAGTAAGGGATGGATCCTCTCTCTGCTACAGTAGAAAATTAAATTAAACTGGAATAGGTTTTTTTTTCCTATCTGGGATCTAAAACTAGGTAATAAAAGTGCTTGTGAAGTTTCCTAAAATCACAGGAACAGTTCTGATRTGCTGAATTCTGCATTTTGCAATCACAGAGCTTATTTATGACTTRTCCCTTAAACTTTTCCTTCCAAAGTCATTTGCAGAGTTTTCGAATCATGGCAATGCTTAACTGCAGGGATTTTCTGATTGATTGATCTTAAAAACCAATGAACTTAAGGCATTGAAAAAAAAGCTGCTGAACTGAGGAAATAAGGTGGCACTCTTCCCTTCACCTCCCTATTCCAGAGGCAGACCAGTGTTTAGCATAAAGGATATTTAACAAGCTAACAAAGTCGATACTTTTGTTCAGAGAAACTTGACAGTGATTTCTATGTATATCCAGAGATACTTTGGTTTAGTATTAATAATACTTTGCTTAATTTGATAGCAACTGCAACTAAAGCAAGGTCAATGTTTGTATTAGCAGTAAACTGTACTCAGTCAAGGAATAGGCATCCCCCTGCTAGACAAAACACTGGGTCCCTGGTAAGCTGTATGACAGAGAGCTTCCACACAAAAATCATCAAAACCCCATATAAGTTTCCAAGTACAGAGCAATACCATGCCTTTTTCAGTGATTAAGAAAAAGATCCTGATCATTTTGAGTCTTTAACAAAAGCTGGGCCAGACTCTCCAGTCCTCCTGAGTGGCAAAAAGGAGCAGCACGGAGTTGTGTATAGCTCCCTCAATCCAGGAAAACTTGCTGTTCCCCTGAGTGGCACTGGTGAGAAGTTCCCAGCMATGCTCTCTGAGCCAGAATTTGGTAGTTTCATTGGTGGGGCAGCTCATCCCCTGTGCCCCATGCCCTACATGCTGGATGATGCACAGTCAATACAGGGAATGTAGCGATCAGCTCCAAATTTTCTGCCAGATTTGGGGCAAGAAAAATGATGGCTGAAGGTAAAATAAATGGTCCGTRTTGGGTATTTTCAGACAGTTAACGCACGTGTGACTCTGTTCGAGAGAATTTAGCTCTCCATGTCAGAAATAGATAGTGAATCATGGAATACAGGATAATTTCCCATTTTACATATGCAATTTATTCATCCATAATTCATCCTGCAATTAATATATTTTTCTAACCTGCCACATGATCTAGCTGTGTTAATTGTGTAGCAATTGAACAGCTCATTCTAGAAGCATCAGTTTAAAAGTGGTTGTAAAAACAGGCTATTGTCACAGACTTCTGAAGTTTGCAGTCACCTGATACCACATCCTTTGCAAGCTCTGAGTGATGCATTAAAAGTTTGTGCAGCTATGTGTCTGTCCATATGCATGTAACTTTTTTCATTCTTATTAAAATTTTGTGAAATGGGTATTTCTTTCATCAACTACTGATGCTTCATCTCTTCTATGATATATACCATCAATGCTTTTGCCAAGCTGCTTGCAAATGAAAAAAAAAATATAAAATTCTCAAAATGACATACAGGCAAGTAGCAAGAAAATCCTAAGGTATATAACAAATACTGCTACTGTAGGCAATGGCACATTATGCTGATGAGTGCCTGTAAACAAAAATAAACATGAACCAAAATAATGGCATGTAGAAGCTTCAGTGGTGATTAAGAAGATTTTATTTTCTCCACGGCAGAAACTCTTTCGGTGCAAAAGTAAGACCTTGAGGTTTGTATAAAGGAATTCGTGATGTTGAGCAGTTTCTGTAATGAGGAAATAAACCTAAGTGTAAAATAGAGTCTTAGATATCATCAATACTTATGGGGAATCTTTGAAAAGAACTCATTCATTTTCTTCTGTTTTTTTTTTTTTCTTTCCACAAGGAGCACAAATTATGATTATGCTGCAGCAGAGACCACATTGTTGGGCTTCACCCTGAGAACTCTGCCATCCCCTTGCAGGTTTCTATTCCTTTTCCTTCCACCACCACAGATAACTGCTCTTTCCCTCAGAAGGTCCTGATCTCTCCTGGTTCTGTCTGCCACCTACATATACACAGAAATCTATCCATCCTGGGTACTTTGTCCTTCTTCACTGAGCCTGGACTCTTGTGCGCTGTTAGCAGAAAACTTGTATTTTGGAGGGTACACCTATGCATTCAGGCTTCTMCTGATCAGAGAAGTAATTTTATTCCTACTATTTCCTTGCATAGTATAGCCTTCTTCACCTCATTTGCCAATTTCACAGCCACCTTAACATAGCTTCTGTCTTCATTGTACCAACTTTTCACTGTTTGCCACCGCTTCTAGCAATCAAACCAGAAAGGTGGTCAAGAAAGTTGCAACTTTTGTGCAAATTCTTTATCTGAAGAAAAATGCTGTGTCCTATGAAGCTGCATGACAGTGTATGTTTTTCTCAAAATGTCAAATGAAACGCATTTGGAAACATATTTTTGAAATACATATCTTTGTTAATGGAGCAACAGGCTTGCATGTCAAATATGAGGAAAGAGCAGAYGGAGAGAAGAAGGGGTCTGAGATACTAAATCAGCCTCTGGTCCACAGATACTCCTGAGATTTATTTCCTCACACTGATTCCCTCAGAGCTTTTGAATAAACCACCTAAGCCCTCGACAACATTAGAGCGCTATATGCTAACACTTTGTGACAGTCTTAAGGTGATGTCTTAAAGCATGAATACTTAATTCATGAAGCATGTTAAAAAATATTTGCACATAAACATGACTTCTGAATCATTTAAGCAATGATTTAAATTACTTTGACAAAGGTACACAAGCTCTCTCAACGAATAAAGAAGCAAACCAATAATGGCAGGGTATCCTGTGCAAGTCGACTCACGTCTGCCTGAATGTACAGGGAAGGCAAAATCCTCCATGAGTGAACATAAGTGTTGCTCAGTGGCTCCAGGGACAATGTTGCCCCAGGTATAAACTAAGAAAAGTAGCAGACTGGATTACAGACAGTCATGGCTACATATGACAAACAAGGCAAATGTCTTTTATAAAACTTCAGTTTTACTCCTCATGACTCTTAGAATAAAATTTTATCACCTGTCTCAAAAATGTCACTGTCAGTGYACTGGAAATCCTTCCCAAAAWGTTAACAYCASGTTTTACTCACAAATGCTGTTATAAATCAGAGATGACATTGTGGATTTGGCCATTTCTCCTCATTTTTTTATCATCCTTCTTTAGCCAAAACATTTCTCAATTTCTATTTCTCTGCCAACCCTAAGCTTCCATTCTTTTAGCAGGCTTCTTTCTGGCCGCTGTGGTTCCACCTGAAGCCATTCCTTCCCATTTCCCCACCGTGGTCTCCATGGTTGGTTCTCACATTTCTTCCCCAACACAAGCAAGGGTTGGTTGTTTCCTTGGACTCTTTCCCAGTGAACTCATCAAAACAGATGAAAACAGCTGAGTACCAAATCATTAATCGATTCCCTGCTGAATCATCATGGATACAAATATGCAAAACTCGTACTCTTCTTTCAGAATTAATTTTTATCAAACTCCAACCCTCCCACCTCTGAATAACTACAGCTCCTGCACCAGGGTGAAGTGACTGAATCTCACATAACTCCATTTGGAGGCTGAGAAGAAGATTCTCTTCTGAAGGTTCACCACTTCTGAGCTACACATACTACAGTACAAGTGAAAAATATAAACACTCCTGCAGCCTAAAGTCATTACAAAAAAAATGACCATGACTTACCTAACTGAAGCCAGAAAGAAGTGAATTAAGATCACATTCACAAAGAACCTGGCCCTTGCTCTTGGAGGAAYACCATGTCACCAATGGACTCAATTTGGATTGTATGTTCTAGGTCCAGAACTGCAATGCCCTATCACATCTGGGAAGTCCTGAATCTACTTCTTAATTCTACCCAGGATCCAGGCTCAGTTAGATGATAGCTATTCTATTTCTAAGAAACAAAATATAGCAGCTGCTACTGAATACCTTTCTCGAGTAATTTTTTTTTATAATTTCAACTTTAATGCCAGTTTGAAAGCACTTTAGCAGGGCCAAGAAACTACCATAAGGCTTTATTTATTACTAGTTAGAGTCTGAATTGTTTCAAGTTCATTTAGTTCTCTGTTTAATATTTCATAAATTTTAAGGAGTATGTTACAATGAAATCTCTTTTCCCTCATAAGTCTTTCACTCTACATCACAAAAAGAGGAAGCATTTTGCCCAAACCCCATAGGTATGTTTAGTTGTTCATCAACACCAAATTTTTAAATACCATGTAAACACTTCCCATCATGTGAAGCAATATAAATGCAAATAGGGTGTTTAAATAACACTGCAGAAAAGCTCTGTTTTGGTAGTTAGTCTTGCATTATTTTACATCAAAATTAGTATTTAAGTACATAGAGAATCACAGAATATTCTGAATTGGAAGKGTCCCATCAGGATCATGKGATCTGACTCCTGACCCTGCACAGGACCACCCTCAGGAGTCAYATCATGAGCCTGAGAGCGTTGTCCAAACGCTTCTTGAACTCTGTCAGGATGGTGCTGTGACCACTGTTCTGGGGAGCCTGTCCCAGTGCCCAGCYACCCTCTGGGTGAAGAACATTTTCCTAATATCTAGCTTATAACACAGCTTCAGGCCATTCCCTTGTGTCCTGTCACTGGTCAC